GGGTGTGGAGTAATTATCACCTCCTCTGGTGTGTGTGCAGATAACAAAGAGTGAGATTTGGTGCTCCTATATATAGTTGGATTCAGACAGATGATGTTTGAGTTCCTGCAGTGGAAGCAGAAACTCTTTTCTTTATACGATGTTCTTAGTGAAGATCTGCTTCATCATGAGGACACATCTGAGTGAGCCTTATTGTTTTTTGGATAAAATAGTTGGTTGTCTTTGCCGTAACTTCCAAAACACTGAAGCAGAATCTCGTAACATCAGTTACTGTTTTTGTTTCACTGCACTCAGACTCTCAAATTGAGTTAAAGTCCTCAGCCTTCAGACATTACATCGTAACTCCAGAGCTGTAATCATTAATCTGTAATTAAAGCAATTCTCTCAGACACACACACACACACACACACACACACACACACATATACAGTTAAAGGGCGTCATATGTCCACAGTCTGACTGTCAGTAGGACATTCAGTTATCTTTCAGGGCTTCAGTATAACAGGATTCTCTCATTGTTCTATCAGCTGGTTTCTGATGCAGGACGAGGCTGTTGATCAGAGACTGAAGCTCTCACTGTGCACTCTGATCAGTAATATTAACTACCATTATATCATCTTAAATATTAATATCCACTTTAAAATGAACAATTTCCTGTAGTCTCCTTTATGCTGATATATACGCCTACTGTGTGAATTCTTAAAGGTTTCTGAACGAGTTTTTCAGCAGATTATTTTGTGTGAATATTGATCGAGATATTGTTTTATATTGTAATATTGATCTGAGTTTTACTGATGTCTTTTATTTTCACTGAAAAACAACTGAAGTGATGGTGATGATCTGTTGGGGTCTGTGGGACCAAACAAACATGTTTTCTTAAATCTGGAGAACAAGATTCTTTAGTCCAGGTCTCTGCAGAGCTACAGAGATTCATTATAATGCTGTTTATCACATTTTACCTTTACCCTTTGCAGCTTTCTGCACTGACCCTGAAGGTGCACTGACATAGCAAAGCTCATTACGCCCTCTGCTGACCGTTCCATACTGGTGCCGTCAGAGCATCAAATAATACAGAAACAACACAAAATGTCTCTCAGGTGTGAAATGGAAGGAGCACTGTGCTGCAAGATTCATCATTATCTTTAGATTCAGTGTGACTTCAGACAAAGTTATCATCCTCTCAGAAATATAGCTGCAGAAGTTGCTTTAGAATAATCACAATTTTAAGTTCTCTTCAGTGTTAAAGTGATCCAGTGACTACTAACAGC